AAGCCAGTTATAGCAAAACTGATAAACAAATACCAAAAGCACGTACTTTAATTATAAACCCCATCAATCCCCAATTTGGACCTAGGTAAGAGCCTTAAAACTCGTACCTATACCTAAATGGACTTTACCAAAATAAAAATAAAATTATAATACTCATCAATAGCACTTCAAATCCAAAGAGCCAGGAGAAATCAAAATGATAGAATTTTTTTATTTTTTATTTTTCTGAATCGCTGTAAATGGTAAGGAAATCATAGAAAAACAATGATCCCAACATTATTTTTCAAAAAATGTGTTTGGCAGATTGACAGTATTGACATGAGAAGAATTGACAGTAGAGGAGCTTCTGAAACAGTGAAGGTTTAGAAGTGGGAGGAGGAGGAGAGAGACAGCATAGATTCCACGTAATTCTTAAATTAAAATTTTCAGATAATAATGAAAATTTATGTTTACAAAATAAACAACCAATGAATAAATATAATTCTGAAGGATGCATCTTAAATGACATACATCAATATTGGCTTGCAGCTCAGCATTGGCTTCAGGAGCAGGGATTGCCCGCATTGGTCGTTCCCGTGTACGTGTTTTCTTCACACCGCCAGCATTAGCTCTACCAGTAGCTCTTAGCCTATAACCATGAAACTTAAGTCAGGTGTTTAGGGGAAACATAACAAATCACATGTTACTATTCCTGTAGCTTCTTGACAAAGAAAAGAAGTAATCATATGGATGTAAAGTCAATGGCCACATCCTTAATCCAATTGCCAAATCATGGATTATATGTTGAATTTGATATACTGTGTGTCAGGTACTATAGCAAGTATTGGAATTTGAAGTTTAAATTCAATCTAATGAACATTAATAGTCCAAATGAATAAGACTACGGGGCCATATGCCAGTGGAATATAAAAAAAGCTATCATATTTAATAGATTACCATTAATGAATATTGTAATTGATAGCTACCATATTTAATTGTGATTTTGATTCTATATAATGAGAGAACCTCTCACATTGAAAGGCATTGAGTTTTACTGAGTATATTTGATGTGTAATTATTTTCCAAACCTTTTAGCTTCTTCATCACGCCTCTTAGCATCCATCTCCTTGCTGGGAGGATACTTTGGAAGACTTGATGGATCACATGCATAAGGTTCTGTTCTGAAGAACTGCAAGAATGAAAACAACAAATAGCTAACTTTCTGTGAGTGACGTACAATGAGAATTCTTGACTATTTAGATCACTAATATTGGACAAATGTCATGGATGCCATATATCCTCCATAAATGTCTATAGCAGGGTAGACACCACAGCTTCGTGAAGGGAAAAAAAAATGGTAGGAGTGGGAGAGAGAGATGAGGAAAAACATAATTATGGAGGAGTACAAGAGTCACTACAACAAACTATAAATGGAGGAGTACAAGAGTCACTACAACAAACTATAAAGATGGAGATAATTTTTCTGATTTTCTAAAGGAGGATTTTTTTTCCCTTCCTTTTTTGTTTGTGTATGTGCATGCATGTTTAGAGAGAGGGACAAGGGAGCTCACTTCACTGTTTAATGCAGCTGTAGCAGTTTGACGCTCAGCTGGATCAATTGCAAGTAGAGTCTCAATTAATGGCAGTGATGATGGCGGGAAATCTTTAAATGTCTCTGCTATGCATCTTTTATATGACTGTTGAGGCTTGAATATGGTTGTATGCGGTAGTTTTGATTTTTTCCAATATTCGTCTGACGGAGAGCCACATAGCTTGAAAATCCTGTGCAGCTGTTCCACCTAAGCATAATAATAGCATTCACCTAGTTATTACTGCAAGTCCAGTTTTTATGCAGATATGATGATAGTAACTTTAAACACTTGGTAGTCAAGTAAAGAAAACTGCAAAAATTAGTAAAATTAAGCCATTGGACAAGCATGCATAATGAGCTAAATTAAGCCATTGAACAAGCATACATAATGAGCTAAATTGTTGCACAACATAGTGCTTGTATGGGAAAGTTTTAAAAAAGTTGAAGTCAAAGTCAATAATAAATTTTAACTACACATTCCATGGGATTCACAACTTTTATCAACTTTTCAACAACATATTTCATTATCAAAAGTTACAACAAAGCCCCCTTAGAATCGCCTACAGCAACATAAATTGAAGAGAACAAATGTCGAGCACCAGATTGAGAAACCTCTTTCATAATTGCATTATGCTGAGAATCAAACTGGTGGCAGACTCCCTGCCTAATGCCAGTCACACCTAATCATTATGCCTTCGCCGTGCCTAGTTTAATTTAACCCCATTTGGCCTCCATTAAATTACATTTCATTTTTCTCTCACCTATTTTCAATTACACAATCTTCCATAAAATAATATTAGACGTAAATCGAAAACTTTTCCTTCCTTTTCAACCACTCATTTTTTCTAAAAAACACTGTTCCACCCATTTTCATTTGAAAAAATGGGGCCCTAATGGAATAATTCTGCAAGTGGTTGACCGGAAGACCGAGGTTATAGCGAGTTACAGTATCTCCTCAGCATTACTCCTTGAACAAGGCTTATGCAATATCCAACCAGGTGTTTCGCTCCCTTTTAAGGGAATCCCTGATATAAGATTTGAGAATGATAGAAGCCTTGAAGCACAAAATATCCGCCGAACCCATCGGATGTGCCTGCAGGCTGCAGCAGGTCAATTAATGCTAAAAAGTTCAGGATTTCAGGCTGGGTCTGAATGTGGCTCCTTTTTTTCGTTAGAATTTGGAGCAGCTCTCTCCCGACAGTAATCCTCCTTTGGAGAGGGGACAAAAATGAGAGAACCCCCGGTCTGGGGGATTAAGCGGAAATAAAAGATTATGGAGAAGACAAGGTAGAGAAGGAGGCTTGTACGGATTATTTAGTAAGCCATTTTATAAACAAGATCCCTAAGAGGGTGCCTACTTGAATACTTTCTTTTACTGGTAAAATAACTTATTGCCACAAGCATACGGACCCTCGAGAATTAGTGCTTCTGGTCTCATTTCCAGCATGTTGAATTTCATTTACCCACATCTACTTTTCCGTGAGGCCAACACAAGGTCAATCTCAAGAAAGTATAACATATAGCAAAAGATATCAAGATCATTTCTTAAGGCAATTTTTAAATCATAATTAACAGTGGATTTGGTCTAAATTTCTTTTTTGAGCAATTTATAAATTATAAATAATATAACTTCAGCTTCAAAGACAATGAGACATCTTCTATTTCTAGGTCAAATATAGAATGCCAAACCATCATTTCCAGCAATAGCAGTTCATTAATTATAGAATGTCTGGTGAATGAGTACAAAACGTATTGCAATGAGTAATGACTAGCAACTGAGAAAAACCATCTACCTCTGTCCGCCCAGTCATGATGGGCCTCCCAGCAAATAACTCCGCTAAAATACACCCAGCACTCCACAAGTCCACACCTACACCATAATCGGTGGCACCAAGAAGCAGCTCCGGAGGCCTGTACCAAAGAGTAACCACTCGACTGGTCATCGGCTGCTTCTTGTTAGGGTCAAATGTCGAAGCCAAACCGAAATCAGCAATCTTAAGAATTCCTCCATCATCAATTAGGAGATTTGACCCCTTAATATCACGATGCAACACGTGCCTGTTATGGCAGTGCTCAAGGCCTGACAATAGCTGATGCATGTAGCATTTGACCTACAATATCAATCAAATAACGCCAGAATAAGAAAACATCCAAAATCTACAAGAGAGAGATTCAGGAACTCAAATAAGAAAATGGGTAAAAAGAAATAAGTAGAATCCAACCTGAGGTTCTGTAAATTTGATTCCGGGGCTTGAAGCCAAGCCAGCCAAATCATGCACCATATAATCAAACACTAGGTACAAACTACATGACATCCTTGAAGTCGCCAACCCTTGCAATTTCAAAACATTTGGATGGTCCAAACGACGCAAAATCAAAATCTCTCGAGCCATAAATCTCACGCTCTCGGGCTCCAAATTATCGAATCTGACTTTCTTTAATGCAACAATGTTCCCCGTTAAGGTATCTTTAGCTTTATAGACATTACTGTAAGTACCTTGTCCAATCTAATCTTGATCCCACAGAAAAACATACAACAAATGAGATACTAACTCAATATAACATACAAAAACTGGAAACTAATCTAAAAAGCACTTGCCTTATCAAGTTTCTCAAATGCGTCAGCCCGACGAGGGGTCAATCCATTAATTGCCTCCCCTGCAACTGCCGAGAGCCAAGCTGGCCATCCAGCAGCCACTTGCTCACCATGGATGTTCTTTGGGGGATTACTTAGACGAGGATTTGGCCTAGACCTCCTCCTCTCACCTCTCGGCTTTCGCACATTTCCATCCTTAGGCTCCTCCTTCTGATCTCCACCATTCTGAAATTCACCACCCCCTCCGCCTTCGCAGCCACTGTGGTCCTCTGCCTTACTTACAGAACCAACTACTACTTTCTCTCTCCTCCCCGACTGTGCGACTGGATCTCTCCCTCCCTGAATATCCCTCCCATTATCAGTTACAACCTGGCCAGTAGGAGGCCCAGTTGATGAAATCTCTTTTCCAAAAACACACCCCATCTCTCAAAAACACCGAACTTCATTTCTCACCACATCGCGCACTCTTATCCCTCATTCAAAACCTCTCAAATAAACAACAAATTCGAATGCAAAGCCTATGGACAAATACGCTGTAAAGGAAAATCCAACAAATGGGTTTTATCCCAATTCAATAAATATCCACAAATAGAACAAGAAATTCAACATTAACGCACGGATAAAATCAGATTTCAGCAGACAAACTAGATGGGTTAAGATCTATTAAGCAACGAACGACTAATCGAGGTTACATTTAAAAAAACCGCAAACAAACCATATTAGGGGTTGGATTAATACAGCAAAAATAATGTAGTATGAGTGAAGAACCCTCACTTTAGTGCCCAAAAAAGCAGAAGCATCAATGATTTAGTGAAAGCCCACAATTTATGGCGGTCAAAAATGAGCAAAGGCTATTATACAGTAAACAACCAATTAACTTTATTGTGCCTTGCGGAATTGAAAATCAGAGAATTAGACAGCAGCGAAGTTGAATTTACACTTGTCACTATGAACAATGGAAAATTCTAAATACTGGAATATTATTTTCTTGGTGTGCTTTTCTGTGATGAGCAAGTCGAGTTTTTACTGGTCAAAGTGCATGTTTGGTCCAACATGTGAATTATTTAAAATGATTTTTTTCTATAATTTTTTAATTGGGTAGGCGTTTTTATCAAAAAACCACCTAAATCGAACTACGAACATAGTTCAATTAGATTTTATTTAAATTTTACTTCTCAAGTTTGGATAGGTACAACGATTTCAAAAGGTCAAGGCCTGTTCGTGCCCCTTTAATTTCAAAAAATATATTATAAAATAGTGATTGATATTAAAATGTGTGGTTAAAAAAATAATTTTTTTATTTATGTGTAATATTATTTAATAAAAATGTGTGGTTAAAAATGAATACTGTAGAAAAAATAATGTAATAGAATGGTTGACAAATAAATGCTAAATTAGGAGTGAACAAAAAAATAGTCAACCTGTCAAATTAAATTGAAAATCGCGACTTTGAAACCGTTAGTTCGACATCAGTTCCAAATTGGACAAAACCATTTTGAAATGATTCAATATGTTTTCATAGTTAAAAATCACTTGAAATTAAATTGAACAGTTCATCCAATTTTTATTAAAAAAATACGCGTTTACTCAAAATATATTATTTATTGGTTCAATTTATACTTCAAAAAAATATTTATTAGTCGACTTCTATTTTTGTAGGGAAAATAATTATTTATGATAGTAATTTTCTTACCTAGTTTAGAAATAATAAATTTTGCAAATTAAAATTTTATTGTTGAATTTTGTTTAATTTAGGTCCTGTTTGAGCCACAATTTTTTTAAAAAAATACATTGTTTAACAGTGATTTGACACCATCTCAATCACACATTTTTCAATAAAATAATATTATACGCAAATTCAAATTTTTTTCTTATTTCTTAACCGCACATTTCTCATCAATACATTATTCAAAAATACATTTTTATTCCAATAATGTGGCTCAAACAACGGCTTATTGATTTAAACTTATTTTGAGATAAGTGTTTTAGTATTTCAAATGATTATTTTTAGTGTGATATTGAGATTTCATAACTATATTTTTTTGGGAAAATTGCAGCAACGACTCATCATTTTTTCATTTTTTGCAAACTTTACTCTAATCTTCATTTTGTGTCAGCAGATGTTCCTAACATTTCATAAATATGCACCTAAAATCCATTTAGACAGAAACCGTCCAAAACACTATCAATTTATCGGGAAAATTAATAAATCAACACCCAATAAAATCCTCTAAAACCCCATCCAAAAAGGTATGAACATCCAATAAAATCATCGTGATAGCATATAGTTCAAAAAAAATTTCTGGTTAGCTAACGGTATTTTGGACCGTTTCCGTTAGGATAGACCTCAAGTACATATTTAAGAAAGGTTAGGATCGGTACAAAATGAATATTAGAGTAAAATCTGTAAAAAACGAAAATGTTAGGGACCGTTGCTGAAATTTTCCCTATTTTTTTCACTTGGTTTGAAAATGTTAGTAATATGTCGCTAAAATTGTTGTTGAAATCAAACCGAATTCAAAAAATGATTTGGTTTAGTTTGAAAAATTTTCAAACTGTTTAAAATAGTAATTTTTTGTTTAAAATTTGATAGGACTAAACCAAAACCAATCACTCTGTTTTGATTCCATCAATGTATGTAGAACTACTTAATTCTATAGGTAGAATTTTCATTATACTTTATTTGATCCAATTTCTATTAATATCGAATCAAATTTATTGAAATCGTATCGCATTGACCGTTCCATTATTACTTTTTGGCATGTAAAAACTATAAAAAGCAATAGCGTGTATAACTTTGTGAGAGAATTAAACAAAAATGTTACGAATAATAGATTTTATTTCTTTCTTTTTTTAATGTATAGTAACTACAAAGTGGTGGTCGCAACAACACAGTGATAGAGCTACTTAAGTATTAGGCGAGTTAGACAATCGCTTAAGGTCTCAAACCATAGAGCACCCTCATAGACAATTTTGCTCAATGCCTCAAAATTGTTTGAACCGTCCGTATATAGAGGCACTTAAAATATTGATCGCTATTAATATCTTAACAATATCAATTTCTATTCCTGATATATTCAAATATTCTTAACGTTTGTTAGAAAATAATTTGTCATTTTTTATACAAAAAAATTGGATGATAAGGACGTATAAAATATTCTTCAAACAGAAAACTTTGACTGTAGATAAATATCTTAGACGCCACCCCACACTTCACCTCAAGAAAATTGTGAAGAAAACTTTTAGCCCCGTTTATTTATCATTTTTGGAAGAATGAGAATGAAAAATATAGTCGTTACGGACTCCACACAAGAGATAAAAATTCAAATTTGGTGGTTTGATGTGATAGATAATGATTATAGTCTTCATTTTAATGAAGAAATAATGGGAATCAAACATGGGCTTAATTCTTCGGAAAGTTCGAGAATTTTCCCAATTGAAGCCAAGCAAAGGATATTTTGAAAAGTTGATTCTGCAAGGCTTTGAAAAGAAGAAAGAAGATTAGGTTACTTATTATTATATATCCTTCTTCGTTTAATCTAAATTTTATATACTTTTATTAAAGACAAACTAAAAAATATATGTAAATAAGCAAAACAATTCGAAAAGCATTCAGGTTTGGTATGAACATTGCCCCATGATTTGTTAATAACAGAGTAAATCGCTACAAGACGGTTCATGCATTTTAAGACATATATTTGTGTTTTTCTATGATTTATTTATTTATTCATTATTATTTATTAAGAGGTGAAATAGAGTGAAAGAACGAAACGAACTAGTGAAATATAAAGGAAAAATGACTTCTTCCTAGTTTGATCAAAGACATTATTCGAATATATACCATAATAGTCTAACTCCATCACTCGCTTAGACTGACGTTGTAGCACTAATAATGCTAAATAACATTATTCGGATATATATTATTTATTTTCAAAATTTTAATCAAATGAAAATGGTTAATCATTCAAAAGTATAATTTCATTTTCTATTGAGCCCATCACCGGACAAAGGGAAAAATAAAAATTTGTATTTTCCACCTCCTTTCTTTCCCACCCAAACATACTTGTTAGATTGACATTTCTGTTAGCCCCCTGGGACATAATCCATTGGTGCAAAGGACAGCCGCAGTGTGGGGGTTCGATTCTTGAAATATGGAATTGAACTCCTTGCAGGTACAGTGTACAGACAACTCTTGCTCCTTGGCCTTTTGGGAGTACATCCCGCGATTTACATCCCTTACAAAGTTCTAGGGGCGGGATGATGGGACTTTCAAGATTGGGGTTCAACCCCCTTTTTTTTTTTTTTTGATTGACCTTTCTGTTGCGTTTACCATTCTTGAAAAATGTGGCACAATGTTTTGAAATTTGGACCAACTTGAACTCCCTTGTAAAGTAAAAAAAAAAAAAAAAAATGTTCATTAACATATTTTGTGGTACACCAAGATTAGTGAATTCGTTTATTTTTTGTAACCTCGTATTCAGTATCGTAAAATAATATTGTTGTATTGATTTTAACGGAATAACTAATTTTAAGTTCGAATAAAGAGAAGTGCTACAACACGTTCGCATATTACGTGAACTTATATCATATAATTTTATATCAATTTTTATTACTTTTCAAATATTTGGACGCTACTATTTTCACTAACTAAATATAATTATAACATTTTCATTGTGTGAGAGCGAACATGTATATTCATTTGAATTTCTCTTTCCAACTCAATAGTATTTATTTATTTATTTTTCTCCCTTTTTTGTATTTTCCCGTTTATTGTGACTTTTGATGACAATTTTTTTCTAATGGAAATTCAACTTCAAAATATGTGGGCAATATTTTACAATCAAACATGGATGACAAAGTAGAAATCATTCTTCTGGTTGTTCAACTCCCTTTTCAATCTCACGTATTGGGACAAAAATATAAAACAAAATCATTTAGGATTAGGGTTGTTAAAGCTTATTAGATAAGATTATTTTGACTCAAATTATAATTATTACCTTTCAATCATGCTTTGCAACGTGTTTGGAAGTACGTAAAATGGCAGGAAATTAATTAATATTACGAATATTAAATGATACTAATTAGAGAGACTGACGGGATTCTGTACATGTCAATATCCAAGGTCACTTGACTACAAAGTAAAACACATCAATATTCATAAATAATCAATTATTTTATTTTATTTTGTGGATTGCTTATTAATTTTCTTGGTGTTAAGCAACCCGTGGGATATTTTTAGGATATGCTGTTGTTGAATTCAATTGCACCTCATATTTTTTTTATATAAAAAATCTAATGAATTCATATTCAAGAAGGGCTGCCTCAAATTTATATGTTTTATAGTACATGGACCATAAAAAGTTTGAAATATTTGTTATATTACATATGAGTGTATTAAGGGTCAATTGGAAATATTTTTAAAAGTCAAAATTTGCTTCTGAAATCAAGATTCTATTTTTGAACTTATTTGGATGATTTTTTTGAAATGCTTTGTTTGTGTTGAATAGTCAAAAAGCTTTTAAAGGAACTTGATTTAAGATAATTTTTTCGAGAAACTTCAATAAACGAGCCCTAAATATGTTTTTAGATTCTATATGAATTGGCCCATATTTTGGTGGGAATTAAAATTTTAATTTAAGTCAAACTCAATAATTAAATTTAACTACATACATTTATGGGACTACGCTTTGAAGCCGTACATTCAGCTTTTATTAAAATTTAGTAAAAAAATCAAATTTAACCACACCAAACAGGGGCTATATATACAATTTTGATCTTCTAAGCATTTTATGCTAAGCACCATGTTTAGGGTGAAAGTTATTTAGTTTTTATTTTAATTTTGATTTTAACTGCCACGTAAAAACGGTGCTTCGGTGATTTATTCGAGATTTCTACACTAAGAGGTAAAATTCAATTTATTTACTAGCTAAATTGGTAAATATGACGAAAGCCTTATCTGTACATGAATGTAAATTCATAGTCTATGTTCATGATAGAAATATTCAAAGGAAGAACGTGCAAACAACGAGATTATTGTCAAAGAGTACTACAATGTAACAAGTGCGAGCTCTTTGAAATAATAGAAGGCAATTTGCTCCAAAAAAATTCGAATAGCATTTATAAAAATAATATTCTTCCTTTATGTGAAAGTAACTTATATTTAATCCTCCATCAATGAGATAGATGGCCACGGAATGGAAGGTTTTGTATCCAAAAAATAGAAAAAGGAGTAGAGAAGCTCTCGATAGGGTTAAAGACGTAACTTGAGCCTTGCTGACAGTTCGTTTTTTGAGCTAATCCCAGCGTGACACCATTTCATTTTTAGAAGTCTTTAGCTAGGCCCAAAACATTTTGAATTATTTGGCCCAACTTGACCTATGTTAGGTTGTGTCCATTAATTCGTACAATTCTGCAAAAAAATTCGTAAAAAAAAATTTCATATTTACGAAATTATTCGCGTCTCATTTCAAAACTTCAACACTAAGAAACAAAATGTAAGTTTCGAAAATCAGATATTAGTTAAATTTTATTTATAAAATAATTAATTAAAAATATAATTAGGTCATAACTATATATTATTTGGTCACAAATTATCTAACTAATTGGTCACAAATTATTTCTCAGTCACAAATAAAAAATTTTAAAGGTTACAAATTATTTCATGAATATAGATTAAAAAATATATAGGTCACAATTTGTCACAACTTAACTTTTTAGGTCACATATTATTTATTGGATACAAGATATCGATAACATTGATTACAAAATATTCAATTCATTGATCACAATCAACCAAATAATTGGTCAGAAATCCCACCGTGAGCATTTTACCCACACCCACAACACCGCACGATCACCACCACCTCAACATCGTAGCCAACATTACAACCACCAACTCATTGTCAACAGCATCGATACACTGTCAACGCCACCTCGCAATTTGAAACTCACAAACAGAAACAAAACCCAAAAAGTCGGCTCTGCCATGGATCTACCACCACCACCACCTCACGATCTGAAACTCACAAACAAAAAAAGAAACCAAAAAGCTTGCACCACCACCACACACATTGTCGTTGACCCCATCTTACAATTGCCAGCTCTAGCAACCACCACCTCCACCGTGACCTCTACCTGCAACTCCAACCAACCACAACTACACCACCATTGCATGCATCAGCAACCACCACCACCTGCTAAAATCCACCATCTCTTCCAACTTTACGACACCATGGCCGCCACCCCACGAACAAAATCCCCAAACCCACCATTACCATTACCATCTACACTTCCAGTTCACTAAAAATCGACCTCCAATTTCGAGCACCTCAAAATCAGAAAAAGAGAGATAAACGAAAACTTCATTTTTACAATGCTCGCTACAGTTGGACCGTTGACTGGAGGAATTGATCGTTGTTGCGAGACCAACAACGACACCATCACTGTTGTGCGCAATAGTTGACCCCATCTACTTGCTGCAGTATTGTACATAGTGACACTGGAGAAGTCAATCACCGTTGGCGATACCATCGTAGCAGCGCTATGCTGCGGTGATACCATTCGTTGATGCGTATGGCAGTCGGCCCATTGACTTCGCTAGATTGATGGGTTGTGCGCGTGTGAGAGTGAGAGAGGGCGGTGGTTAAAATAATCATTGAAAGTAAATTAGTTTCATCGTTATTGACCTGTCGTTTAACAAGTTCATAACACGTGTCCTCACTTGATATCTAAACTAAACTAAAATTATTCCAAAATACGTTACCAATCCAAATCATAATTCAACAAAACTACGTTAGCAAATCACGTCCAAAGTTTTAGAAGCTCTAACATGAACTCTAATTTTCCTAACATTTAACGCTTGTCTGCCACTGCTAAACGAATCGCAGGTCACCTTTGTCTGTCAATATGCTAATTTCTACTTGAATCGCTTTTTTTCTTCTCTTTCATAAGTCTCGAATTCTCATTCAAGCCTTTTTTTGTTGTTCTTTATTTTATTTGTTGTTTTTGAACTTATTATACACTTGTGAATTGTGGTTTTGATAGAAAAATAATTGTTTGTGTACTTAAATGATTAATGAACTTGTTTGTAATTTGAAAAGAATGAGGAACAGATCTTATTGATTGTGTGAAAATATTAAAGTTCCATAACTGATACTACTACCTTCTACTTTCATAAAGTAGTTAGATAATGAAATTCTTCAATTCCCAATAAGTTGAAACTCTATCAATCTTTGTACATCTAAATATATCCCGCTCAATTCTTATTTAACATCTTACTAGCAAGACAAAAGGAGTTTTAACCAAATTACAATAGCAGAATGTAATTTTACCTTTACCAATTATTATATGACAATATGAATATCAAATAAGAAAATGTAAATAAAAATGAAAAAGGATATATTTGTTTTATTAACATCTTTTAGCAACAAACTTTGAAAATAATTTATTCATGGGTTTATGGTAAATATCAATGTAATTTAACATTAAACATGTTTAGTTATCGTTTAAACTTATATGTTATCTTATATTTAATATATATTTATAATGTCGATAGGTAAATCGCGGATTAAAATCGAACCAAATCGTAAATTATGGTTTGGTTTGAAAAATAAAATGATTTATTTCGAAAAAATTTCATACCGCATAAAATGATTTGAGTTAAAAATATAGCATAAACCGTCCAAATTGAACCGTGTTCACCCCTAGTTTCAAACTGCATCGGTTCAATTTAGTATATTGGGGCCAACAAAAAAAAATTACCCGTCAAAATGAATCGAAATTCAAAAATTTGTAACCGTTGCTTGGTTCTACTTAGAGCCGTCAATGTTTCAGAACCAAATCATTTTGAAATGGTTGATTTTATATTTCGACAGTTAAAAACTATTTGAAATAAGAACGAACTTTTCATCCTACTTAAAGGAAAATTACTTAATTTACTCAAATTATATTATTTATCAGTTCAATTCATACTTCAAAACATTAATTACTCGTAAACTTCTATTTTTATTACGAAACAATATGATAATATTTTTCATGTTTATTTCAAAATTAATGAATTTGCAAGATTAAATTTTATGGTGGAACTTCATGTTAATTTATGAATAATTCTCTTTATCACCACTAGCATCACGTGGTATGTGGTGTGCTATTAAATGATAAAACTAATTTAATACATGAATATTAGAATTACTTTATTAATCTTATCATTTAATGTCACATTATATAATCACTGATGGTAACAGAAATAAGATTTCGTTTGGCTCACATTAAATTCCATTCCATTACATTTCATTTTTCTTATTTCTATTTTCAATCACATAATTTTCCATAAAATAATATTACATGTAAATAGAAAACTTTTCATTTTTTTTAACCACTCATTTTAAAAAAAAAAATACTATTTCATCTATTTTCATTTTCAACAAATGGGGCCAAACGGGGGTTAAATAATATTATTCCTAATTTGCTAGTTTATGTTTGTATTGGGAATTTGTATTAATATTTCAATGTTTATGTTTAAAATATTTTAGTTTAAGTGTTATACTATTTTTTCATACTAATTTATTTATTTTTACAGTTGTTTGGAAGATATTCACTAAAAGTGTGTTTGATTGACATGGAAAATATTACCTAGAAAAGAAAATATTTTCCATCTTTTGTGGAAAATAAAAACCACCTCTACCCAAGGAAAATATTTTCCTTAAAAACAAGGAAAATTAGGCATATTTTCAAAAGTTGGAAAATGTTTTCCATGGAAAAAAATAGCAATCAAACACTTCAAGTGAAAATTTGGATAGAAAACTGATATTTTCCATGGAAAATAAATGTAATCAAACACACCCTAAAAGAAATCAAATTGAACAACAAAAAATGATTTGGTTTATAATAGGAAATATTTGGCTCGATTTGAAGTACTTACAAATCGTTTCAAATGATTTAATTATAAAATAGTTCAAATCAAAATGTGTTCACGCATAAGTGAATATTTATTGAAGTTAAGGGAGTATTTTGTTACATAAAGTACAACTATGGGCTAATTAGGTTTTTTTTTTTTTTCCACCCCCTTACAAAGCAAAGTCTATCCATTTCAAATGTCATCCACTCCCACGTGTCGACTCCTGATTGGGTATCCAACATCCACTAATTTAATAATTACAAAAAATTTAAAAAAAAAAAAAAAAAAAAAAAAAAAAAAAAAAAGATTTCTCCCCGTATTTCAATTCTATCGATATCTTCAATATAGGGCCATGAGTACCATCACTGTATGCATTCCCAGTTCTCGAATTAGGGGACGTTTGGATTCGCCGAAAAAGTTTATTTCTAATTTCAGCTTCTGCTTAAATTCGTCTGCTTTTTTCTCATTTTCCAGAAGATTTTTCAGTTTCAGTACGTCATTTTCAGTGATCAACCGTCCGTTGCTCAAAGTTAACGCTTCATCTACCGTAGGTATTTCTCTCTCTCACTCACGCACTTGTACGGGATTGTGTGATCTTTTTGATTATGTAATTTTGCCATTCTTTTGAATTTTGATTTTATTTGAATTAACAGGAATTCGTTTTTTTGCTAGAGTGATTTTTTCATTTTTTTTCCTACGTATATAGACTAGAGTACGACTGCGTTGCACCCTCTCTGATACCGTCTATACTCGCTTTTGGTGGCGATTGAATTCCTGATGCTGGAATGATCTTAAATATTTATCGTTTCACGCAGAGAGTATGAAAATGTATTGTACTCTGCGCATTATCGTTTGTAATTAGCTGTTGGTTGAATTACTAAATTGGTTTTTCCTAATATTTGTGTACGTGGGTGTTGATTGCCATGTTTTAGCTATGCCTAAAAATAATTAAAAGTTACTCTTAATTTCCACACTTTGGATGCATTGTTTTTTCTTGGTTTAGTTACTCATTTTGAAAGAATTACTATTCAGTTAAGTTACTTTCATATTCCAGAGTTCAACCAATAAATAAATATTTATTTTAGAACGTACGTATTTACTAATAAGTAAACTTTTAAGCTTAGCCAAACATGCTCTGGGGCTTGCGCAATGCCTTATATGTGTGTCAATTTTGGGGGAAAAAGAAATATCTGAAAGGAAATATATATGTTCTCAGGAGCATGCATGTTAGAGCTGCAATCGTACAATTTTATCCGTACATAAAGCACAAGATTTAAATGAATACATGTGACTCTTTATGATAGTTTAAGCTTTTGGATGAGATGGTAACCCGTGTTTAAATGCAAATCATTTGGGATGCCAAATCATGTGTGTCTACGAATTATGTTATGCTAAGATGAGGTTATAAATGATCTAAGATATGCATATAAATTGTGTGCGCGCGAGTTCTGTTAATGTATTTACTCAACCGATGTGAATTTTCATTACAATCTATGTAAGAGACACATGTGATATCAGTTTGTGAACAGAACAATTTGATACAGTTACCGTATCTGTGATTTATAATTTTATGTTTCATATGTTGAAGGTGCACTGGAGGGAGAATTGGAAGCTTCATTTGCTGGAATGGTTGGAGCTAATGACTTACTGATTGTTGGACCAGGTGTTCTAGGGCGCATGGTGGCTGAGAAATGGCGAGAGGTTTTGAGCTTATTGTAGAATTAATTAATGTTTTCTTTCTGTGTCTGTCAATATGATACATTTAATGTATGGTTTGATACACTCAGTGAACGTGTAGTTGTCACGTGGTAAATTGTCATATGGGAAATCATTTAGCAAATAAATTCTTAGGCTGTCTATCTGGATAGGTAAAGTTAGTATTATTTTCAAGTTTTCCTGGGCACAACAATGATATTAAATTTTCTTGTTATTTATATTTGGCGTTGAAAGATCACTTGGAAATCACGTTGTACCTTATGCTTCTCACTCTCAATGGGCTGTTGCAACTTCAATGCGAACAAGTAAAAAAGGAAATGTATATGTCAAAAGGGAATGCTGAGCAATGTGAAATCTTCTACCATGGCAGGAACATCCAGGCTGTCAAATTTATGGGCAGACTATGACAAGTGATCATCATGATGAATTGATCAAAATGGGCATTACTCCATCTAGAAAGGGAACCCCTGTCAGTAACAAGATTCCTTATGTGATTTTCTGTGCTCCTCCATCGCGGACTCCAGATTACCCTGGTGATGTTAGGTATTTGTAAAGGGTCAATGCTCTACGTAACCTGCTTCAACTTTTATCTACAAATTACCATTTGATACGTTGTATCGTGATCTGCAGCTGTTATCCCATGTTTTAGTTTTGGGCTTGTTAATTGTAGGTCACATCTAAAGATGTCCTTGTAAAAGTATATTACGGCGTTGATAGTTCTCATCTGGCCCAATTCATTTTTTTTCGTTTGAAGTATTAGTATATGTCTTATGGCCTCTAGTTTTTAGCTCCGCCAAGTTGCTTGAATATTTTATGGAGTATATTAGATAGCCTAAAAGATAGGAAGAGAACTGCATCATTTTAAGCCTGTCCAGTTTCATGCATCTATAAATGACGAAAAGGTAGTGAATGGAGAAGTCCTGAAAACTGGTATTTGTGTCCATAATTTGGGTTAAAAAAGCACAACACGATTCTCTGGAAAAGTCAACTTCTGGCAAGAAATCGAGGTTTATTGTGCCTGTCATATGCCGTTCATCTATGAGATGATTTTCATTTTTCCTATACCTGTCTAAAGAAACATAAACAAGTTCATTCACTCTTAAATTATTGCATTTACCCAATTAAGATGGCATAATAACTGTAGCCAAATGCCAAATTTATTGGTTCGCTTTGTCACAAACAGGGAAGCAACATTAAATTGGAATGGTGAAGGCTCTTTCGTATTTACTTCAAGCTCTGCTCCCTATGACTGCAGTGATAATGGATCTTGTGATGAGGTATTGCAGTTAACATATTTCATTTTTTTAATTAAGAGACTCTTTATTTGAAAATAGCATCTTTAAATTTAAAGAATAAAATTTCCACGAACTCTTTATTCTACTTTTTTCAGCAATCATTTATTGTTTCCCCTTATTTTCCAAAATATATATAATTTTTTTTTTTTTTGATGTCCATAGGTAAAATATTCAATTAATATGAATTATCTAAGTAGTGGAGCATTGAAACTTATGCTTTTATTAAATGCCATCATAATAAAATACAAATAGAGTGTGAGTTTGGCTCTCCAAATGTAAAGAGCCAACCCACTCTCTATTTTAAAAGTTTAAACTAAAGAGTGTGCTGGAGCCTAAATTCAAGGTTTGGCTCTTTTAAAAAAATGGCATCTCACTCTTAAAGAGATTATTGGAGATGCTTTAATGAGGTTTACCAATTCAGAAGCTAACTATTTCCTCAGAAGTAAAACCACTTTTATTTAGAGATGCATAGAACTCTTACACTTTTGGGTCTTAAAAATATCCCATGGATGCTACTAAGATTTAATTTGTTCCTCATGGTCCATAGGATACTCCAGTAGTTCCAATTGGGAGGAGCCCCAGAACAGATGTTCTTCTCAAGGCAGAGAAAGTAGTGCTGGAGGCAGGTGGTAGTGTTGTCAGACTGGCCGGACTCTACATATCCTTTATAGATATCGATTAGTAAATGATCAGTAAGCAATGCTTTTACGTTCAAGATATGACTTTGAACTATAAACACAATCACCTTAACATGCAATACAAAGGCGATAGAGGTGCGTATACATACTGGTTAGAGAAAGGGATTAGCGATGTTCGTCCAGATCACATCCTTAATCTAATACACTATGAGGTGAGTGAATTCTTGTACTGTTACTTTCATTACCCCTCTCCATTTTTCATTTTTCTGAATAAATTAATTGATTATGATCATTTGCTTCATTTATATAGTCAGTGATGTAATTTGAACAGAAATAACGGCTTGTGACTTGTACAGGATGCAGCTTCACTTTCAATCGCAATCTTGAAGAAGAAACTCCGTGGGCGGATCTTTCTTGGCTGTGATAATCACCCTTTATCAAGGTCATTTTGTTTACCAAATACATTTGCACTTCGTAGCAGAACAGTTTACACATATAAGGAGCCTAGATGCAATTATCATCATACCTTCTTGAATTCTTTCAGGCAGGAAGTCATGGAATTGGTTGATAAGAGTGGAAAATATGGCAAGAAGTTTGGAGCTTTTACTGGTAAATATTTTGCAATTATTTGTAATACAACTACTCTTCTCTTTTATATAGTGAATGCGTAATGATGCAACAATTATTGTTTCTTCAGGAACAAAGGATCCTTTAGGTAAGAAATTAAACAACTCGAAAACTCGTGCAGAATTAGGCTGGGAACCGAAATATCCAAGCTTTGCTCATTTCCTTGGTGTCTCCGAATAACTTTTGCAATTAACCCATATTGTCTGAGAAAATCAATGAAGCATCTCATTTGCATGCCTTGAATGTGTGTACATTCTAAGCGGGGTAATTATGATACCTTGTTAACGTAAAAAATCGTGCATTGGTTCTTGATTTGTCCATTCTTTGGTGTATTTGGTCCCCGTTCTGTAATAATCTCAAATCTTATGTGATAGCTTTTCTTAATACGTAAAGTACTATCAAATTCTCTCGATGAAACATGCCGTCAATGTATCTACCTATATATTATCAATTAGGAGTGTGTAGAACTTATGCGCTAGAACTGAAGGATTTAAGTATTTTGGAACCAAATTCTGTTTACGTCCTTAATAGCTAGACACTACTCTGTTGCTTGGTTTGTTTACATTTGCTTTACCTATTGCGCAAAGATATAAATGACATAATTTTGTATGCGGATGAATCCAACCCGACCCACATTTATTTGTTAGATTGGCCCTGTATTTACAGAAATGCACACAGCACTGCACTGCCAAGGCATGTGCCGAATTTGGTGGGTCAAAGGATCAAATAAGAGTCGCCCGATTGAAAATGCATCTCTATTACTAACAAATAGAGAATGGTCAGTGGAAATTTTGTGGTCAAATTCGTAACATGCCGTCATTATTCTATGTGAAAAAAAGAATTTCAATATTTACTTTAGTGGGATGAACTTTCTAATTCTTAAAACTTCAATGTCAATTACTTTTGTCATGTACTTTTAATTCCCCACGCACTCACTCACCGACGTGGTTGACAAACTTTGAAACAACTTGTTGATTTGATTGTTTTCCTTTTAGTTAGGATTCGACAAACTTGGCTTCAAGACTTTTGATTTTCATACATGTCTTTCACCTCGTTTTTTATATTTGTGAATGTAAAAATGTAAATCGAAAATGAAAAGACTATTGATAAATTATTCATTGGGTGATGGGCGATGATACCCAAGTCCACTGAGAAAGTAGAGCGTCATCCTACTAGAAAATCCCTCGATTTAGAAACGAGTTTCAAATCTAATGATTTGGTTGGATGCTTTAGATGTATACATTATTGAACATCGACTTGACACTTGTTAATAAGCAACTTGTCTATCATGACCTTATATTGAATTCTCAAAACTTCGGAATTAATTGACTATTGAATAAACACCGCACATGAATTTTAAGTACTAGAAAGATACTCTTTGACGAAAGAGTATACCTAAGACAATTTATACAACAAACCAACAGTTTCTTTAAAATTTTACTTGACATAAATTTCGTGAGTCATATATTAATCTTCGCTTAAATAAAGAAAGATTCCAAAGACAAACGAATCATTTGTTTAAAAAATTAAAAGAAAAGTATAATTGGTTGAACAAAGAATCCTACACTAAAAAAAAGGTTTAACAGCTTGACATTGGTCGACTAATAATAGCATAACTACTACAAAAACATTAATTAAAAGACTAAGACCTTATCAAATGCTACGAACCTTCCAAATTATAAATATATTAAAAATTTCGTTAGTCGCCTTTTGAGTTAAGTAAAGTTTATTTCATTACATTTGAATGCAAGTTTCATAAGACACATCAGGCAAAGAAGAAATATTATGGGGAAGCTTTGCTGTGCCGCTGATTCCGACGATGGTGGTGGACCAGGCATTTCTGTATTTCTCGTACTGATTCTTCTTGTAGGGTTGATGATATGTCTATGCAGTTGCAGGAGCAGTTGCAGGCCAAGACGACGCGTTACTTGCTACTATTGCTGCCCCTCGTGTTAACGGTATAGCTCTTTCCCTTTGTTTTGAATTCACTGTCTTCATAGTAGAAGACTCTCTTCACTCCAATTGATGAATCTACATGTTTTTCCCTTGTGGAACTTCATGATTTAATTAGAGCTTTTCGCACATTTTATTCCGAACCTTTGAACAAAGTAGGAACCATTTACTCGAACCTTGGAACATGTAAAGGTCTAAAATCACAAGCTTTCGCAAAAAAAATTACATTAAAAATCCCCGAAGTCATTTCGAAGAGTTGGGCCTTTGGTTTTCAAATCACGAGTTTTCTTAGGTAGATTTAGACCTTCAGCTTTCAAATTTCGATTCATTAGCTAGCAACTTTCAATTTTTTAATCGTACATTTTAATTTTTATCAAGATCTACTAAAAATCTAACTTTTAAGCACACCAAAAATCTAAATAAACCAAAGTTAATGACCTGAAAAGACAGCTTACCTTCTTTTAGTAATCGATTTCGTTGAATTTCAAGCTCTGTCGCACTTATCGTGTCAACAGCTCTAAACGTATGACTCTTCTACTATCATTTTGTTCTTTTTTCCATCTATCCATACATTATCGTGCTGGAGCTTTAGACTACTCGAATTGTCGCATAAACTTCCTAAGCGTTGAAACTATATCACTGATCAGGCCATCACTCTGGTCGAAGATTACAATTCCATACAACGAGGGCTTAAGTCTTAAAGTTCCATTTTAAAAAAGATCAATTCTGTCATGGGTAACTAAAGTCCTAACATGCAGATTATTATTTTTTATATTTATTAAATGGTAATAGATCATTTTATTACTTAATATTCAACACGACCACACAAAATATTAGATAAAATTTTAATTTCCTTTTTGTTCAATAGTATTTTACGTAGTGATGTTTGATTCACATTACCCAATATCCCATGCCTGGCAATTTTAACCCTTGGTTTTTCTTGTGTCACTATTGATGCTGCTTTCTCCAGGTCTCCACCAATGAAGAGCAATTCTGTACACATTTTACCATCAATTCTTGACTGAATATATAATTTGTTATCCAAATAATGTTTTCATTTGATTGTATCTCTTTGAATTACTGAAATTTATTGTTGAAGAATGAAGAAGAAAATATTCCCGCAAACACTTTACTTATTTTGACAACAATGCAAGAGTTACTTTCAAAATAAGTAACTTAGTTTACTTAAAATTAAGACAAAATTAAGTTATCGAAGTGTGTTTGGAAGCTAAAAGTTACTTAAACATGCTCTTAGCCCGATTTCAGTCAAGAAGTTGTTTTGATTGTTAAAGCACCATTAGCACATAAGAATGCAGTTTTATCAGCAGCAAGAGATACAGAAATGTCTCTCATACAAATTCGACTCAGCATGCATAAGCAAATTAACATTCATGAACAGAGAGGCACGTTTTGAAATTGCTGAGTCTATAAAGCTTTGAAGATTACGATTTGCAGAAACGCTACCTTGTAGTCCTCGTAGAAAACCGTAGCAGATGCTTCAATATGCTCAGGTGGTTCCCGGTACAATAAACTCAATGGACATTGCTCACGCCTGCACAGTGTAACAACACCTTTGTACAAGTGAATTGCAGGAGGAACAAACATAAATCATGGTTCTGATGGATGCGACTTACAGAATCATCCATTGCACAAGACAAACTATCAGAGGATCAACAGAGCTTATGGACATTTCAGTTGGGATCATTGTGAAAATAAGTACTTCTCCATTTATCGAATAATAACAAATTATGCTAAATAATAGGAAAGCAACACATGATTACGCAATCACTTTAATGACAACGATATTTGACAATTTACATCATACACAAAGGTGATGCTTTAGTAGCAATTCCACAATCAGTGTCCTCAACATTGCCAAGGAAGGTATAAAAGAGTTTCCCTAAAGTATGAGAAATTAATATTTACAAAAGCTTCCGTATTCTTTCACTAGATATTTACCAGCGCCCAATATATACATTTCTTTTATTGGACGGCTAGGAGGGTTTTCTGCAATCATTTTAAATCCCTTTCACAAAGCGGGATAAAATAGTCATTAGACCATCCTTAATCTTGTAAAAGCATAAACCAGAGAATAATCTAAACAGAAACATATACATAATTGCCCAGCCGATTGAAGCTTCACTTATTCACATTTTGTGCAACTTGGTGTGACCAGGATGTGGACGTAGGCTTGACGGCAGATATCTGAACACGCAAGACTTCATGAATGGCACCTCGATGAAGCACCCTAAGGACTTCTTCGTTGGATGCCACTAGGTCTTCCAAAGAGACGCTACGAGAACACAATTCATCACGTAAACGAAAACCGCGACACCATCTGCCAAGCTTCCACCATTGGACACACACTTGCCTCTTTGTAATCTCATTGCTATGCAGTGCTTCCATGATGTATATGGACTACAACAACAATGTTAAAACATCAATGACATGTTCATTAGAGAGGATTGAATAGCACTGGATAGTATTAAAGAAGAAACAAAGACTAATCTTGGTTATATTGTACTGTCTAATTTGCAACAAATATGCACCAAATAACTAATCAAATTTTCTCTAATCATTTACGCATGAATCATGATTAGGTGTGAATGAATGATAATGTAAGAGGACAACTTTTAATTCTTGAATGCATGAATTGCATTCTTCAAAGATTGTCAAAGTTCACAATATTTGTTTTAACAAAAAAAAAGAAATATGCTAAGTTCCACAAACAGCAGATAAAAATCAAATCCACATGTCAGCAAATGTGAAGTGGTAATTATTGGGTCTAAAATCAAAAGATTTCACAGGAAACCTTCGAACAAATCAGTAAAACTATTAATGAAATAGTCAACAAGTCAGTAAAACTATTAATGAAATAGTCAATCACAATATTAGTATTTGGTTCTACCACTTATACTGGCTCAATGGATTCCTTTTACAAATAATCAAGTTGAATCTGAAGTAATACGGCATGAGAGCAACAGTTCATGGTCATTATGGGGAATTCAGTACAAAGGAGAACCAATTCCCTTCTCGTACAAAAACTAAAAATTGCGTAATTCTATTCCATGTCCCACAGTCTAGAATTATGTCAACTTGATGGCAAGGTAGAGTGAAACCAATAAACAGAATCCCAAAACGAGCAAATGATGTAAACCTTTTTACCACATCAAAACATCCAATAATGGAACTAAAAGAAATATGACTGATTTTAGATTGTGTTAATTATGGATGCAGGTCAAATAAAAAGATATCTGAGATCATATTTGATACACAATGCTAAATAAGAGTGTACAGTAAACGACCAAAATTTTAACTTCTTTTACGTGTTAAATTACTAAATAATGCATGAATGCAGGTCAGATAACGCAGATATCTAAGATAATGTTTGATATGCACATTCACCTTACCAAATATGCTACAATAGTAAAAGATCAAATATGGTGACTTATAAGGCAGAGATTTATGCTCCCTACGATGCACAATTATCATTGAATATCTAAGCAAATAAAGGCGACTCGCTTTGAGTTATATTAGCAATTACCGGCACGTCCAGCCATATGATGCTGTAGTGCAAGCCAACCAAATTTAGCAGCACATTATGCTTTCGTTTGAGAAAGAACATTTGGACATCTTTGAATCCAAACTGCATTGACTTCATGAATTCAATTGCTTTCAAATAACGCCCAACTTCAATGGACTCAAAAGCTAAAGCATCTTCCACAAAATTCATTACCAAAGCTGCTTTTTCAGCTATCTCATTGTGCTTGTTTATATACAAAGCCCTCCATCCCTATGGCCATCAAAAAAATCCAAAATTTATAATAAAAATTCATGAATTAAATTCAAGCTATCATCACATATAAGATCAGATATAACGTCAAGAAAATAAATTTATAGACCGCACGGGTACCGCCATCAATAGAACAGCACTTGAGGTATAATTTACATCTCCAAATCAATTGCTCAATTACTAAGACAGCATTATGAAAATAATATTTTCGAAGTATAATTTGTTAAACAAGTAAATATCGCCAAATTCAAGGCTTCCAGAAAATTACATCAAACACAATCAAATAAAATTACAAAAGTGAATAAAATTACAAAAGTGGTTCTCATACTCATATTTATTATTAATTTTTCCATCACACATTTACAACTAAACCTAAGCCCCTGTTCGGCCCCATTTTCTAAAACTCATATTTTTCCCATAAATAATTTTGCACGAAGAATACATAACTTTTAGTTACTTTTTAACCACTCATCTCCAAAATAATCACTTTTCATAAAATCTATTATCCAAAAATATCTAACAAACAAGGGCTAAACATAATATAAAAGCTCAATTACTGTATAATAACAATTTATTCTCCCAAAGAACAAGAATTTATACTGAAATGAACAAAGTAAGAATGCTCAAAACATAATACAAAGCAAGTAAACGAAGGACCTTTAAATTGGAAACAATTTCTTGATCGAGCTCGAAATTTCGATATTGAAAAAATGACGAATCTTTATCAAAATCAAGTGCAGGCCACCTGTCTTTGCAAAGAGGTTCCCACACACAATCAGACCCGCACAGCTCCCTCCAAAACCTGGAGCAACTTCCCAATGAACACACATCAAAAACCTGAAAAGAAGATCATTTTTTTTTCAGAACCCATATCCGATAAAGATTAATACAACCCAAATTAGAAACAAAAATGCCCAAAAAAACTGAAAACGATTTTTTTTAGGAAGAAAAGGTTTGAAATTATTAATTAGTTTATAGCCCAAAAAAGAAAAAGAAAAAAGGGACATAAAACCTGAAGGGATGAAGCTATTTTGAGGGAAATATCATGTGGGAGTGAGTTCTGAATACTCTGAGATGGGCTCATTTTCTTGGGGTTTTCTTTAAGCTTCAGAGGAAGAAATTTTTCTCGGAAATGGAAGGGAAAGGAGAGGACGGTCGTAAATGTTTTTGATGTTTTCTGTTAGAACACGAAACCAGCACGTGTTGAAAAATTAAATAGAAAGAAATTATTTACACACATACCCGTTTGGTTTCGATTAAAAATCAAAATATATAGTTAAAATCAACAATTTATGCAATCGCAAATTTTGTGAAATCCATACATTTCAATCATACATTTTATAAATTTTTTTATAAAATTTTATTAAAATTTTAATTTTAATCTATACCAAATAGGACATATTCTAATATGTAAAACTGAGATAATTATTTCAATTATTTGTGTTTATGTTTGACAATCATTTTAATGATTTTTTTTTTCTTTTTTGGAATAGTGATTTTTTGAAAAATATGGAATTAAAAGGTAGGAAAAAATTTAGATTTACATACAAAATATTTTATTGTGTGAATGTGTAGTTAAAATGAATTGAGAAAAAAACTTTATTTTTAATGATAGACAAAAGGGGGCTTACTTTTTAAAAATGTGATTTTCGTTTATTAAAAAGGCATGACATCTATTCTAAAAAAAAAAAAAAAAAAAAAAAAAAAATTTTTTTTATTTTAAAAAAAAAAAAAAAAAAAAAAAAAAATAAAAAAAAAAAAAAAAAAAAAAAAATATTTTAAAAAAAAAAAAAAAAAAAAAAAAAAAAAATCTATTCTATTCGTATAACTTGAGGTTCTTTGACAAAGTTTTTGATAAATTTTTTAAGCCATTATTTGAGCCTCATTTTTGCCAAGAAAATATATTTTTGAATAGTATAATGATATGAAATATGTGATTAAAAATTAAGGAAAAATCTTTGATTTATGTGTAATAATATTTTATTGAAAAATGTATGATTAAAATAATGTCAAAATACTGCTTAAAAATACTTTTTTCCCAAAAAATGGGCATCAAACAAGAGCTAATTTTTGATAAAAATTAATAAATAAATGATTGAAAAGTTGAATCATTGACTTTGACTTAATTTTTTAGGGAAATGTTACGTGTACACCTCATGGTGTACACAATGTATTACACCCCTTTCACATGAAGGGGGTCCCCGAATGTTTTATTGTGTGTGGGCGTCCTTCATGTGAAGGTGTAAGACTATGTGTACACTATTACGTACGCATAGTATTTTTCAATTTTTTAATCTATCCCAAACAAGCATTAAATTCATTACTAAAATGATAGTAAATTTTGACAAAGGTAAAGTTTGACCAAGGATTTATTTCAGTTCTATAGGCGAAGAATAGACGTCTTGTGTATGTATGGTACATGTTCACAGTTCATATAAAGTAATAAAAATATTATGCTGGTGAAAAAAAGGATAAAAGAAATCACGGCAAGTGCTATATATCATTCTATTCCCCATTCATTTTTTCACATACAATTATATTGACTAAAGTTTCAAGTTCAAAAACATAATATATGGAGCCTACAAAATTCAGAACTTGATGATGAAACCTCCCTTTCTGTTTCTTTTGCTTTCTAAGCCTAGCCAGAAGTCGGATTTTCTCTAACTGGAGGAGCTGAACAGACGAGCAGATTGATCCAATCTAAACCGTTGGTGCCATGGAACCGGCATGAAAATGTTAGAGATTGAATGATAATAATGCTGTTCGAACACGCCACATCGGCCCTGTCCTTCTAGCATGGTTGATTGAACAATGGGAGGCATAAAGATGGATAAACTGCATTCCTTGGTGTTGAGGCTGGCGAGGAAATAGTTGATCCTCCTTGTTAATCAAAGAAGTCATTAACGATTAAATCAAAATTTACACAAACCATTCAAAACAGAAATTTAAATGCAGAAAGTAAAGTGTAAACACAAAGATTTTTCGGCCGAAGCCCCAGAGGTTCAGCTTAAAGCCTAATCCCCTGTTGAGCATCCATTATAAAACGGATCTAGCTTGGTTGCACTAAAAACTCAAAATATGGAAGTCAAAATACAGAAGTACAGATCACAAGATAGTCACAGAGACTTATCTTTCTACACGAGGATGATTGAACTATGCTTCTCACAGGAATCACTCAGATCACTCAGATCTGTTACAAAGCACTACCGAACTTAAGAATCACTCAGATTCTAGTCACTAATCACTCAGAAAAGTTAAGCATTCATACAATCAGTAGTATTACAGTGAGATTACTGTATTTTCTCACTATTTTCTCTCAAGAAACCATATCACAGAAGAGAAAACACGAAGAGTTTTCAAAAGGAGCGTATGAACTCAAACGTCAGAGAGAAAACCCTAGAAGAAATGACGATTCAGCTGAGTGAAATGAGTCCAATCAAAGTAAATAATATCAGAAGCATCCAGAAGTCTGATCCAACGGCCACCATCATCACACGTGTCATGATCTAATATAATGTTGTTATTTAAAAATGAAAGAAGTGTCAAACTTATTAAACACGATTTCAGCTTTAAAAATGTGGAAGCAATATGACCAAAGGTCCAGGGTTCGAACCCAACAATCTCCACCTTGCTTCCAACAGTTTTGAGTATAGTGCAGCCAGGAGCTTAACCAATATTTTACAATTTCATTTGCTCTAGTTCCTGCACAGTTAGTGAAAAGAATCAATAGTATTACTTTTGTTCCCATATCAGATGGATTATGTAAAGTAGTAACTTTTGCAATATTTAACAATCCTTTTGATATTACATCTCTTATAAAATGATATTTAACATCTATATGCTTAGTTCTATCATGAAACATAGGATTTTTACTCAAATGTATTGCACTCTGATTATCAGAATATAAAGTAGGACTAGTGTTCACAAAACCAAACTCATTTAAAAGACCATTTAACCATATACCTTCTTTGATGGCATCAGTAGCAGCAATGTATTCTGCCTTAGTAGAGGATAAAGCAACAATTTTTTGTAACTGAGATTTCCAACTAACAACAGTACCACAGAAGGTAAAAAAGTAAGATGAAATGGATCTCCTGTTGTCTCTATCTCCAGCAAAATCAGAATCAGTAAATCCTTTTAGTATTACCCCTTCTTTATTCATTTTAAATATTAATCCTATATCAGATATTCCCTTTAAGCATTTCATCAACAATTTTACAGCTTCCCAGTGACTTTCACCAGGGTTGGCCATAAATCTACTCAAGACACTGATACTGTAGGCTAAGTCAGGTCTAGTACATATTAGCAAATACATTATTGATCCTATAGCATTAGCATTAGCATAAGGAATTCTTGACATTCTAGACAATTCATCTTCAGTTTTAGGACAAGCATCTGATGTAAGAATAAAATGATTTGCAATAGGTAAAGATACTGATTTACATTCAAACATGTTAAATTTTTTCAAAACTTTATTCATATAGTTTTGTTGATTTAAGAATAGCAACCCTTTTTCTTTATTTCTAACAATTTGCATACCAAGAATCTTCTAGGCAGGGCCAAGATCTTTCATCTCAAATTCAGATTTAAGCTTTTGTTTAATATTTTCAATTTCAGATTTGCAGCTACTGGAAAGAAGCATAACATCAACATAGAGAATCAAGTAAAGAGAATTATTATTATCATTACCTTTATGATACAAACATGTGTCATAGCTACTTCTATTAAAGCCAAGTTTTAACACAAATGAGTCAAAACGTTTATACCACTGTCTAGGAGCTTGTTTTAGCCCATACAAAGACCTTTTTAATAAACACACAGTTTTATTTGGATCACCCTTTTCAAAACCTACAGGTTGTCTCATATAGATCAATTAATCTAAATCACCATACAAGAAGGCAGTTTTAACATCTAATTGATCTAATTCCCACTCAAATTGAGCAACCAAAGCAAGAATGCATCTAATAGTGGTATATTTAGTTACTGGGCAAAAAATCTCATCATAGTCAACCCCTTGTTTTTGGGTAAACCCTTTAGCAAAAAGTTTGGCCTTGTACCTAACATTATTGTTGCCCTCCTCCCCATCTTTAATTTTATATATCCACTTGCAGTCAACTAATTTCTTTTCCTTAGGTTTGTCAACTAGATCCCAAGTCTTATTCTTATATAAGGAGTCTATTTCCTCCTCCATGGCAGCTAACCATTTCTTACTATCATTTGATTTTATAGCTTCATAATAAGAGTAAGGTTCAGTCTCAGTTTCATCTTGATAGGTGAAATAGGAAGCAAATTCATCAGTATTGTATCTAGCAGGTGGCCTAATTTGTCTCCTTTCCCTATCCCGAGATAATTGGTATCCTTCAGGAGGTAAATCTGTGATATTAACAGGTTCAGTCTCACTTTGCTCAATATCATTTTCATTTAGATTTGAATCAGCATTTTCAGCTTCTAATGGTACATCATTGTTATTTCCAAATTTAATAGGCTCCACCTCAATCTGAGCATTATTATCAGAAACATTTCTTTGATTTCCTTCTAAACATGGCATGCAAGACTCATTAAAGACAACATCTCTTCTTATAATGACCCTATAACCTTTCTTACTATGTACCCACAGTCTATATCCCTTGACATTTTCAGCATATCCCAAAAACACACATTTTAGAGACCTAGGCTCAAGTTTCCCTATATTTTGATGTGCATATGCAGCACAACCAAAAGTTTTCAAATATGAGTAAATCACAAGTTTTTGAGACCACACAAATTCAGGCACATTATAATTCAAAGAACTTGTAGGACTCCTATTAATTAAATAAGCAGCAGTTTTTACAGCCTCTCCCCAAAATAATTTTGGCAGTCCTGAGCTTAAAAGCATGCATCTGACCTTATTTAATAATGTCCTATTCATCCTTTCAACAGTGCCATTTTGTTGAGGTGTATAGGTGACAGTTTTATGCCTTAAAATGCCATTTTCTTTACAGAAATTATCAAAGTCATAATTGCAAAACTCTAGCCCATTGTCTGTTCTTAATGTTTTGATTTTTAAATCAGTCTGATTTTCAATTTGGGTTTTCCAATCTCTAAAAACAATGAAAGTTTCATCTTTAGTTTTCAAAAGAAAAACCCATATTTTCTTTGAAAAATCATCCACAATCAGCAAGTAATATTTAAACCCAGACAAGGTAGATGTAGAAGCAGGCCCCCA